CACAGGATTCCTCCAGTAGTGTTGGAAGTGAAGGACTTTGCACTGTGTCTTAGCCTCAGACTTCAAAGAGGGACTATAGAGAGCCAGAGAGATAGATAGGTCAGGACCCTGTGCATCCTTCCTTTCTGCTGCTCTGCTGCTACCCCTTTGATAAGTAGATTGCTACTCTCAAGGAATCCTCCTTCCTTCCAGCTAACACCTTCTCTCTTCTCCATCTTTCTTCCATGAGAGCAGGACATGTTCCCTGCAGCTCCATCCATCCTAGTTAGTTATGACTAGATTAGAATCTTCCCTCTTTCTATCCTACCTATAATAGAGTTCCTTAAAATAAAGGGTTCGTATTAACTTGGTAAGACAAAAAGGCTCAGTGTGAATTTTATTTCCTCAGCAGCAAACACACACCAGGTAATTCCGCTGTGCCATGTTCCTTGAGCAATCTGTAACTTCTGTCAAAGAGATCCCATGGAGTGGCCAGTTTACTCTTGAGTGTGTTCTGGTTATGTCAAGGAGAACCTCTCAGGAGGTCTGAGAGGCTTGAATATACCCGATCCTGAACCTCTAGAGAGAGCTGAAACTGACAAAAGAGGCTCTGGTTTGTAGTAATACTTTCTTCAGACATGCAGATGTTCTTGCACTATGAAGTTCTTGTGGGCACTTAGGCTTGGGTGCATTATCTCCCTATATATCAACTTGGGCAGTGTTGACATTTGCAAACCTGCGTACAAGAGATTTTTTTTCAGAATCAGGTTGCGAGCTGATAGTTTGGCCATGGAACAAAGTATTCGCTATTTGATTTGTTAGATTTGAGTCCCGTAGCAGCTAGAGAACAAGATTTTTTTGGGGGGGGGGAATAAGCTCTCAAGAGTCAAAGCTCTCTTTCAAGAGCGTATACCCCAAAAATCTTGTTGATCTCAAAACCACTACTGGACTCTTAATCTAGTTGTTCTACTGCAGACCAACATGTCTACCTTTTGAAACTATTTTATTTGAAGGCTCAAGAGGCTATTTGTGAAAAAGATTTTTGGGTTTGGTCTTTAAATGAGTATGCAAAAACAGCCCATGTGGACTTCCAAAATACTTAGAAAAGGTATATTTGGCCTAGTGTTCTGAAAAAGGGACAAGTCTCCTTCTGTAGACTCACCCATCAACTACAGTGAGCCTAACAGCTGCTTTTGAAAGTCTTCTCCTTCATTCATTTAGGTTCATTTAGGCTCTTGGCCTGCCAGCAGAAGTGTAGAAGCAACCTTCTCTGGTAAAGTTCTGAGAACTCTGCCCCGCTGTTTTATTTCAGCAAGGTTTCTCTGGTGGAGTTCTGACTACTTTGATCTTTGTTTTGAATCCAAGGCAAAATTGGCTGTTAGGTACAGATCATTTCTGTGCTTTTGATGCAATTCTGAGCTTTGAAATGAGGTATCAATTTTATCAATCCATCTGTAATAGCCTTGCATTGGGTTTTGTTTACATCCACTGTCATTCATGGGACTTGATTCTTTAATAATTGCTTAAATCGCAGGTGTCATTGAGCTGTTTGTCCTTCTCCATTATATTTCTCAGACAGCAGTAAATAGAGAGACCAAAATATTTCCATTGAAGCGTTTTGCTTTCTTCTGCCTTGCCTAATGGAAATAGGTTTTTACTCATACATTGAGTGCTTCAACATACTATCCTGTGTTTTGTTAGATGTTGGAAAGGTCTTGCCAGGACCTTGGTAGATTTCATCATTTTTTTTCAGATGTGAAGTACAATCCCCCCATGATTTTCCGCCCCAGTATGCAGGGATGTTTCCTCATAGGGTTTATCAATATATTAACATTTTTATTTCAGTTTGATGCTAAACTGACACAGCTTCAGAACAGAACACCCAAATCGCATCCCGATCCAAGAGCATTACCTCAAAACATCTACAGACAGGTATGTGTTTTCCAACCCTTTCTATGCTTGCCAAGCGTTGGTCTGTATGTATCATCAGACAACGTACAGAAGTGCCATTCTGCTTTGACTATTAATGATGTGGTGTACCATACTTAATATGTACCAATAACCAGGGGTCGTTTCGTAGAAAAAGAGCTAGGGGAACTCATTAGCATAATTCATTAGCATATGCCGCACCCCCTGACATCACCGGAAGTGTGTCATAAGGCCACACACCCTGACATCACCAGAAGTGTGTCATAAGACCACACACCCCGCCCCTAACGGTCCCGGCTGCCGACCATGCAGCTCCACTGCCGAGCTGCATGAGGGGCCCGGCGGTGGACCTGCAAGGCCGGCGGGAGTGCAAGGAAGCCCCGCAAAGGCCCTCCCTGGCCCCAGGCAGGCAGGGGTGGGGGGAGGCAGGGAGGAAGCAACTTACCCTCCCTCTTCTCCTGCCTCCTCCTGGCTGAATGAGGGCCAGAAGCGGGGCGGCCGGAAGCAGGGGGCGGGGCTTCGTCATGCGCCCCGCCCCCCATACCTCACCCAGGGGAACTGCGATCCCCCACGATCCCCCCCTAAATGACCTCTGCCAATAACAAAGCCTCCTCTGTGAAGGACAACAAATCACCCCAATCCAGTGATTTTTGTTTGTGTGTGGAGGAGAATAGCAGTGTACTACTTGAAGGGGAGAGTGGCAAAGAGTTTCTCAGTCCATTTCAAAAGAGGGAGCCTACCCAAACGTTTGACGCTGAAATTAAAGGGGGTCACTGTGCACACATGGATCTCCAGATAAGGGCAATGGAGTCTGCAATCTTCATCCAGTGTACAGTGGTCATCTCGAGTGCTTTCTGCTTATTGCTCTTACATCATCAGAAAAAGCCAAAAAGTGTTGTGTCTCTATAAAATTACTTGGAAGACTGTCAGTATTAGCCTAAGCAGTCACACACCCTTCTAAGCCAATTGACTTTGATGAACTACGAAAGATACAACACTGCTTAGGATGGCACTGTGTATGTAACCACTGTTTAACCAAGAGTTTTTGGAATGGCCTTTGGACATATTACGAAACTATACAAGCCACGACTTAGTTGAGACAGTGGCTGCTAAAAACTGCCAGGTGTTATTACAACGGTCTTGCCCTCGTTTGGACCAGTTCCATGTCATAGTTTAGCCTGGCAGGTACATGTCATGGTCTTACTTTATTCATAAGATATGGTATTTTCAAATAATTTCTAGTATTTTTCAATGGCAGAGGCACTTCCACTGCATTTACTTTATCTCAGTTTTGGGGTCTTAATGGGCCACAACCCTATTTGCTTGAATTCATATAGAAGCTTCAGCACTTTCAGGAAGAGAAAAACAAGGAAATTGAAGTTCTCCGCAACACCATCAGAGACTTAGAACAGCGGCTCGGCAAGGGTCAAGATGTCCGCCCAAAACGATGGTAGATTTGAGAACGACTCGGAAACAGTATCAGACAAATGGGAAGCGATGTTCATTGATGAAGACACACACAATTGCCATCTTTTCCATTTATTAAAAATTCCCTTATCATTTCCACCACAAGCATAAAGTCCACTTATATTCCAAACTTCCTTCATGCTTACAAAGCACTTGCCATAAAAGAACTCAAGTTTTGTAGGAGCTGATTTCCCTATTAAACCATCAATAACTACAGCAAGCACATTCTAAGCAAATTCCCTCTTGGTTGAATATTTTCTTTCATCTCTGAATCCTTCAGGTCAACACAAAATTCAGTTCATTTCAGAAATATAAAGCGCTATAACAAAACAGAGTATTTAGCTACCGAGATAAAGAGATGTTACGTAAGTTTTAATAATCAGTTATAAAAGGAGTTGACATTGGGCTCTTGTTGTAACAAACCACAGATCAACAGAAATGGTGGATGGCTATACTGGTTCTTACATCTGATCAACAGAAATGTTTTTAGCCCTCATCCTTTAATGCGATCTGCCTGCCCCATACTATCCCACTCCCCCCACTCCTCACCCCAAGTCCTAATGACTGGGATACTTAGCTTCAGTGGGGCTGCTTGTGAGTAAGCAATTTTAGAAACATGGTTACTTTCTGCACACAGGCAGGGAACTGGGCTAGTTAACATACTACAAGACATCCAGTGCAGTCCTATGCAGAGTTACAGAAGCCCAATGACTTCAATGGATTTAGAAGGGTGTCACTCTGCTTAGGATGGCACCGTTTATCCTTATATATATGTACAAAACCTGTTGTCTTGGAGCGACAGATTCCAGTAGAATCCCTCTTAGGATGATAATATATTCTTTGGAATACCACTAATGTGTTTGGTTTTTTTAACATTGTGGCTCTTTTTTAGTGGGGGGAGCCCGATTTGTATGTATTTTCTTAATTTTTCTCATAAGAAAAAAAGACAATATACTATAGTTTTCAAAAAGTGGTAAACATATCTTTCCTTGTCCTCTTCTGTTCTTGGTTGTAAGACATCAAACAGAAGCCCCTAGGTCATAGTTTCTGCTTCTGCCTTCATGCATACAAACAGAATGGTAGAAAAGGAAACAAGAAAGACAAGCCACCAAAATACTACAAACAACTGAGCCAGCACTGGGGGGAAAGCGTACCATTATGAGGGTGTTTTCCAAAAGCAACACCGGCTGATTTTTGCAGAATCAGTACAAATCAGCAAATCAGCAGACCTCAGCTTCCACCAAAAGTATATGGCTGAAATCCAAGCATGCTGACTTGACTGATTTGTGGGATGGAGCTGCATAGCTGACTCTCTTTTGAACAGTCACATAATGGTTCCTTCACAGGAAGATCACTATTCAAATAAGACACACTGTTGTGCTGTCTTGATGAAACGCAAATCTGGTGGTACCGACAACTGCATTGTTATGGAATGCATTCTGTAAAAGGGTGTGATCTTCCCTAGTGCTAAAGATGTTTAGATGGCTCGTCAGGCTCAGCTTCCTGCCCTTTCATCTCAAAGTCAGACATCAGACAGGACAGGCTCGCTCTCTGCTTGTGACTGTCAAGCAGCTGTAGGCAGTCGTCACTGTCAAGACTCAAGGACGTTCTCTGCCAACAGCTGACCCTGTCACCTGCAGGAAGATGGGAGCTCACCACGACAGTATCAGGAGGCTGTGCTAGCCAGATCCGCAAACAACAGGTGTCGGCAGTGTCAGCATCAGCTACCTGAAGCAGGTCCTGTCTCCTGCAGCCAGGATCAGCTCAACTGCCGGTTGCAGCTGGCATTCCCTTTTCGTCAGAGACGTATCGCTTGTGGGGCAGCTGCAGCTACTTCCAAGCTACCTGCCTGACCTGTGCTAACCCTGTGCTGTCGGACCTGATGGGACTGATGTTTGTGGGCATGGCCAGTGCCATGTTGCTTTTGATTTTCAAAAAGCAGGTCCCCGTGTCTGTGATGGTGCTCATGATGTCTTGGGCGAGGAGGTGCTCCCTCGGTAGATGCTGTGGGTACTTTCGTTAGGTTGCTACATCTTTCTTCTATCTCCGGGGTCTAGAAGGAATGATTTCAGGCAACACATTAGTTTCATCAATAGATTTGTTTCCAGCTAATAACCAAAATCTCAGTCAATTTCTATGTTCAGTTGTCAAAAAATTAAATTAAATTTAAAATAAATATTGCAATTGTAAGATACTTAATTTTTCTCTAAGACAAAAGTTACCAAAGTGGCAAATCTAGGCAATCTTTTTGAAAGCTGCCAAAGTATAGAATCATTTTCTTCTATCTTCCTCAACCCCAATAATTCCTGAAATTACTCCACAGTAAAACAAAGATCTTTTCTCTGGAAAGTTTGTTTTCATTTTCGATTGCAAGCTATGGGAATTATGGTTGAAAGTCAGTCTATAAACACACAGAAAATCAATTTTTTCACATGTGTATTTGGATATTCTAAGGAACTCAAGCGGCTTCCATGCAATCTCCAGTTCAGAACACTGGCGTCCCCAAACTTATTTTGCCTGGGAAACAGAATTACAGAAAGTGCATTCCTGAACACATAGGAGTTTTGCCACATTCAGGGGTCGTTTCGTAGAAAAAGAGCTAGGGGAACTCATTAGCATAACTCATTAGCATATGCCACACCCCCTGACATCACCGGAAGTGTGTCACAAGGCCACACGCCCCGCCCCCACCGGTCCCGGCCGCCGCCGGCCTTGCAGCTCCACTGCCGAGCCCCATGAGGGGCCTGGTGGTGGACCTGCAAGGCCGGCGGGAGTGCAAGGAAGCCCCGTGAAGGCCCTCCCTGGCCCCAGGCAGGCAGGGGTGGGGAGAGGCAGGGAGGAAGCAACTTACCCTCCCTCTTCTCCTGCCTCCTCCTGGCTGAATGAGGGCCGGAAGCGGGGCGGCCGGAAGCAGGGGGCGGGGCTTCGTCATGTGCCCCGCCCCCCATACCTCACCCGGGGGAACTGCGATCCCCCCCGAAATGACCTCTGGCCACATTATAGAAGAAATCAGCTACATCAAACAAGCAGGCATGTCCAAAATGCAACTTGATAAATTTGGCACCAAATCAGGTTGATGTTGACAGAGCAGCTTCTTAGCGCCACAAAAAAAATATGGGACTGAGAAGATTCCAGGCACTAGGGTAGTCTGGACAAAGCATCTTGATGTCAGTACCTATATATTTTGGAATGATCTTATATTCCATTAAAACCAGCAGGGGGCAGGGAGTTAAAAACAAGCTTACCAAGTGCAGCCCACCCCCTAGTGTCTAAGAACAGAATTACACATTATATGTATCTGCAATTTTTCTGCAGCAGGGCCAGAATCACTCAGGAGCAATGTTCCCTCTAAGCTGTGAAGTCTTGTGAGCAAAAATTCTACTTTGTGAGCTACTGGCATTAAAGTTGTGATCACGCAATTTGGCTACTGCATAAACTAGTTTGCTCTGGAGCCATCCTTCCTGAGCTAAGATAAAAATGTGTGAGCTGGAGGCTAAAAAACTGAGTTAGCTCACCCTAACTCAGTTTAGAGGGAACATTGCTCAGGAGAACTTTTTTTTAAATGGGAAAGTGCGACAAGAAAGGATATAACACTTCCCACCTCCCCCTCAAAATTAAAGCCAGTGGGTGTATTGTATAACTAAAAAAGTCAGTTAAAAAGGATCACGGAGCTACATGCAAAAGAAGTCTGATAGCAAAGCGGCCATTCAATGGACAGTTGCAATTAGAATCAAAGATTTTTTTCAACATATTTCTTGAGGAATTTCTGTAACCATTCCTTAACAGATTTCATTCTTGTAGATTTAAAAAAAAATGTGTCTAGAGTACAATATAAAGCAATGGTTCACAAGCATTTGGAAGCAAGACTCCTTCTAAACGTGCCGTAGCTTTCGGATCGACTTGTAAAGTCACTTGATGCTACTTTTTTCCATCAGTTAACAGTGAACTAACTTATTTATAAATATATGGTGGTGCAAGAGGCTTTATTTCACAGCCATTTCACATACGATGCAGAGACAAAACCAAACATCCAACAGAGCCTCCCAGAAGCTTCATGTCCCAGCTCCTCTCCCCCCCCCCCCCCCCCCCCCCCCCTTGGCCTCATGACCCAACTCCCAAGACAGTTGCAACCCACTCTTAGGTCCCAACTCACAGGATGAGAACCACTGCTATAAAGTGAAGTCATACCATGTAAGAACAGTTTCCACATGTTGATTCACAGTATGTAACCTGAATGGCTTCTTCCACATATGGGAAAGTCAGAAAGGAGTAAGGCAAACTAAGATGATACACAAGACGGCCACACCTAAGAAAGAGAACCAAGTCTCATTATCAATGCAGTCTTTATGCACAGTTTTATCGAACTGAAAAATAAATATGTTCTCTGGATGACCTATGCCGTTATGATCCCCAAGAGTTCCTGCCAGCCCTTTCATTCCTGCACCAACCGTATGTGACAAACCTTCACAGAAAGGATATTTGCAGTAGCTGTTTGCAATAGCAACTCTGGCCACTGTCTCCTTGCATAAGCAAAGCCCTGCTGCATCAGACCAGTGGTCTATCTAGTCTGGCATCCCGCTTCACACAGTGGCCAACCAGTTACTCTGGAGGGCCCACAAACAGGGCACAGAAGCCAAAGCCTTCTTCTGGATGTTGTCTCCCAGGCACTGAGTTTCAAAGGTTTACGGAATACAGAGGTCCCTTTTAGTCACCATGGCTAGTAGCCATCAATGGACCTCCCCTCCATCAATGTCTAGCCCCCTTTTAAAGCCATTTATGCTCATGGCCATCACTACCTCCAGTGAATGTCACAATTTAATTACTAATTGAGTAAAGAAATGCTTCCTTTAGACTGCCATGTACCTATTGCCCATTATCGTCATTGAGTGCTTATAAGTTCTGCTGTTTGGAAGAGGGAGAGAAAACACCTTTTGATTGTTACGGTGCTGCTAAAACAGAGGCACCCTCTCTTTTTCTGTGTCTGTACAGTCCAGGGAGCTCTTTACTGAATGTCCCATTCTGTTGATTGTATTGACTTACTCTGCATAATCCTCCTCGAGTCCCAGTGAGAAAGGCGGACAATAGATAACACAAATACAAATAAATAAGGCATAGTCCTCATTCTCACTATGATTATGTCAGTGATTAGTCAGGGCTGTACCACGTCAGGCTGCATGACTGAGTCTCTCTCCATAAACAGGGAACTCATACACAGAAATGTAGCGTGTCAGGGAAAGGATAGGCTACAGCCTTTCTCCCTCATATCTAATTTATTATGTCCAGGGTTGTTGTTTTTTTAACATATAGCAGCATTTGAGGCTCTACCCGGTCTGATTTGGTAAAGGCCAGACCCGGGCATACCACCTTAGGGAAAACTATGACAAAGTCATCAATATAATGAAGGGTTACCAAGAACAAGAGGTTGACATGTAGCACAAAATGGGGACCACCCCCTCTTGTAAGGTCACACGCTTCAAACCCCTTAATAGTGCCCTATCTGAGTTGAGATTTCCTCACTTTCCCCTTTATAGTCAGACCTGTCATAGATCAGGAAGTCATCCTTCTTTCCATTTAGAATAGTCCAAACATCAGGCTGGGTCTCTCCCTGCTGGTACACAGGAATGTTCTCTGAAACCTTCTCTCTCAGATGGGGATACTTTTTCTGGGAACTGGGCCCTTGGTGGTTGACTACCACAAAGGAGATATTGGTAAATCCATCATTTTCCAGCTTCAGTCGCAGGTCTTCCAGCCTAATGGAACATAATGAAGAAAAGTGTGTAAACTGCGATTTTATTGTGTTGTTATAGACTGGTTTAGATGTGTTTATTGGTTTTACTGTTGTAAGCCGCCCTTAGCTGCTTCGGCGGGAGGGCGGGATAAAAATCAAATAAATAAATAAATAAAAGTGAGCATTTCATACTAAGGGTGTGCATTCGGTATATACCAAGCCGAATAAGTAACCAAATAATGCCTTATCAGTATTGTTCGGGTATTAAACTGAATCAGATTCTCTGATCTGATTTGGCCACTGTACAGAGAATCCCAAATAAAAGCCTAGCTATTTCCCCCCATTGGAAACAATGGAGGATGGGATTGGATGCCCATAGAATTGGACACCCAGGTCCAATATTTTTGAAACCTGGGGGTCCTTTTCGGGAGAGGCTCTAGTAGCTACACGGCAAATTTGACGCCTCTACCTCAAACCCCCTCACTCCAAGACGACTACATATACCCTAGGAGATTTGCCATTGACTATAACGGTCCCATAGGGTATAATGCACCCGAATATATTCAGGATTCCCAAATATTTCCCGAATCCAAATACAATACCCAGCAGGCTTCCATGGCAGAGTGGGCATGTGAGCCTGTTGTCTCCCAGTTGCTATTCCAGCAATCTAACCACTACACTGGCTGAAACACGTACAGGTTTCTCATCTGCCCCAACAGTCAGCAATGTATTCGTGGTGAATTGTCTTCCACAGCCTTGTCTGAAATTGTTCAGTCATGACTGTCTGGCTTATATACCAAAATCTGCATCTTTGGAAGTGGCTTCAAATATTATTTCATTTTCTGATTTGATTAGGAAACAGAATCTTTAGTCAGATGTTATAATTAATACCAATGCTGAACAGGATTTTGGTGTCATATCAGGCCAACATGGTCTGTCTTGGCTGAAATACTATAAGAGATTTCTTCAAAAACTGTTGAATTGAATTACTCCATCGTTTGTGGAACTGAAGTTAGAATTATGCGTCATTCTAAAGACTTTTCTGCATGTTATTCTAACAAGGCTCTGACAGGCACAAATTTGCAAGCATTAGTATAGTGCTGGGGGGGGGGGGAATATGTCATTTTTTCCCTCCAGCTGCAACTTTTGTGCAGGCTACAAGCTGTGTACACCTGCAGCTGGTGAGACAGCAAAAGCAGAAGAGAACCTGGCAATAACAGGCTATTCCCTGCTTCCAGAAAGCAGGCTTGGGCTGCAACATGACTTTTCCCACCCCCACCCCTCAGGTGATTTGTGCACAGTCACCAAAAATGACAAAGGGCAAATGGATGGCCATTCTCAAGTTACTGTTTAGAAGGTCATCCTCCCCAGCTGGTAATGGTACATGGACTCGCACAGTCTCATCATAGCTTGTTATCTGCCCTTTATTTTCCCTGACATGGTATATAGCACCATGGGACTGGCCTAAGGCCGATTTGAGGAAGAGCTTTGTGGTTTCAAACGGCGCTATAGGATCCAAGCTGTGAAACCAGCAATGTCACTTTCTGAGCCAAAAATTACTTTACAACTGTAATATTTTTATTTATTTATTAAATTTCTACCCCGCCCTCCCGCAGCAGCGGCTTAGGGCGGCTTACAAACAATTTAAAACCAACAGTCTAAAACCAGCAAATACAAAATAAAATACAATTCATACAATTTCACTACATACAGTTAGGCTACATAAATAAATACAGCGGCATCCTGTAATAAAGTACTAGTGCGGCCCCACCGGAGCAATCAGTTTTTATTGGAACGCTTGGCGGAACAGCTCCGTTTTTACTGCTCTACTGAACTGCTGGAGGTCCCGTAGAGCTCATCGGGGAGCTCGTTCCGCAGCATTGGCACCACCAGGGAGAACGCCCTGGCCCTAGTTACCACCAACCTGGCGTCCCTAGGCCCGGGGGGGGGGAGGCGGTGTTGTGTTCCAGACCGCAGTGCTCATGGGGGAACATACGGGAAAAGGCGGTCCCTCAGCTAGGCAGGCCCCTGGCCATTTAGGGCTTTAAAGGTCAAAACCAGCACCTTGAAGTGAATCCGGAACACTACTGGAAGCCAGTGCAATGACTTCAGCACAGGCTGGATGTGCTCCCACCTGGAGAGGCCCATCAGCAGCCTGGCTGCTGCGTTCTGCGCCAGTTTAAGAGCACCATACAAGTTAAGGCCCCATTAAATCTGGTAAAGTTCCAGAAACCTGAAATATTTTTTATTTAACCAACTCTGTCTTATTCAAGCGTCTTATTTGTCAAAACACACGAAGCTGCCCTATACAGAGTCTAACCTTTGGTCAATCAAAGTCAGTACAGTCGACTCTGACTGGCAGCAGTCCTCTATGGCCTCAGGTCTTGCACATTACCTACTTCCCCAGTCTTTTTAACCAGAGATGCACGGGTGGAACCTGAGCCCTGCACCTAAAGCAGATGGTTGGCCACTGAACCATGTCTACAGCCCTAAGCAAAACTTCCTCTGTTCTGCCTCAAAATGCAATCTGAAAATGCAACAAGCCGTCCTCACCTGGAAGCCTGGAGCAGGCACAAATATCAGCTAGCTTGGAGAAGAGCCACGACTGTTACAGAACCTCTGGAGTCCAGCATCGGGTTTTCCTCCCGGATGTGCCATTCTGGAGGTTCTTTACAACGGGGGCTGGAGCCCTGGCTCTCCGTCCCTCCTCCTGGGAGGAGACAGAGAGCCAGGGCAAGGCCCAGCCCAACCCACATGGCTGGGCTTTGGCTGCAAAGCAAAGCAAAACAAAGTTATGGTAACAGCCTAGGAATCTGGAACCTGACAGGTGATCACGCTCTTTGCCCATGGCAAGCATTCCAAGAACAGCGAGGGCACCGAACTCTCCAAAGAACTTTGTTCCAAGACGGTTTTTCAGGACATCCCCTCAATTCTTTGTTAAGCAACAAACCAAAAGCTAACTACTTTGCATTTGATAAAACTAAGCATTAAGAAGACAGAACATTTAAGCATTCCCCGTTTGTAAATATAGTTCTTTCAAACATACAGTCGTTGTCCCCACCGCCACCACTTGGAACAGATTTCAGGTTCTTTGGTCATTCGAATCAGCAGAATGACACTACCTAGCACTTGTGGCCGATGTGCATACCACAAGACAAAGCATGTGGGCTTGAAATCCCCATGGTGTTATGAGGACTCACGACAGAGTAAACAGGTATAGGATTGCAGTCTTTGTTCCTGCTGAGCCCCTGCCTACAACTCTTCAGATAACTGGAAAGCAAAGAGGAGTTCCTAAATATGCCTACAGATTTTAAAATCCATTTCTATTATTAAACGAAGAGCATCTTTTCTCCGATTTTTCGTCCTCTCTCCACCTTTTTCTGGCAACTAGCCTTTCAGTCATAAATTGAGGGGGGTGGGGGAGACAAGCTGGAAACGCGAAGCAACGGGGTTGCACCCAGACAGCTTTTCGGCAGGCGAAAACGGGACGGTGGCGTCCCTTCAATCAAAAACAATGCTGGGGATCACGGGACCTGTGGGGACAAAAGGGACTGGGACGCTGCAACACGGAGAACTCGGCGACGCCCAGTGAGAAAAACTGGCCGGATCCGTCCTATTTTCTTGCCTCTCCAGAACCCAAGAACACCGTCTGGCCCCTAACATCTGCCAAACAGCTCGATCACACATAAATAGAACAGACACACTGATTTATTATAAAGATTAACGTTATATACCGCCTCCCCCCCGCCCCAACCAGAAGGCACCGTTCAAAACACATTAAAAAGAGAACACGACTTGCCACACATATGCCACGAACTACTGGAATCCAACTTTCATCCGCCAGCTGCATCGCCCTTCTCTAGCCTGAGGAAGCTAACCCGAGAATACAACACTTGGCGGTCCCGCTCGCTCCTATGTGCGCGTCCTTTGCGCACGCATAAAAAAATCTATCATTATCAGTAATTTCTCGATTAGTCCACGAATCAACACGTGGCAATCAGCAGGGCGCTGGCGTGTGAAGGTACAGCGGAGACCCACCCGACAGGCGGGTGGGGTGGGAGTGGGGTGCATGCAAAAGTTGAAGCCAACTTCTCTGCACGCCGCCTCTCTCTGCAAACTTCTCTTCCAAAACTCTTATCGACCTCTGAGCCGCCAGTTTTGCACCAAAACCGGCGAGCCAAACTTCGCAAGGAAACCAGAGACTTACCCGAGCCCGCGCTCCCGCCCCTTCCTCTGCTTGGCGGCTCTCAGCAACTTGGCTCGTACAAGACGGCGAAGGGGGAAAAAAGATAACAGCCACAGCCAGTTCCAGAGCTCTGGTATTTATACTTCGCTTGTTTATCGCCGCAGTCAGCTGCGAGTTCAAAGTTCAAGGGACTTTGGCAATCTCTTGGCAAGCGAATCACAAGCCTCGGAGCTAAACCAACCCAGTTTTTTGTTTTCATTAACTAGCTGGGAGGGGCGACGGCGAAAGGGTCTTTTGCAAGAGCTCTCGGGGTCTGGGAGGAGGCAGTTTGCGACCTCCTCCCCTAGTTACTGGTATAGGCAGAAGAGGAGGGGGGGAGTGGGAAGGGCCGCCATTCAGAAAAACGTTTTCTTTCAACAAAAGAGGGGGAGAAGGAGCTGCTGTACCAGCGGGTTGTTTTGCTCTGTCTTTTAGCTCTTGCTTTGAGCTTCCCGAGCGGTTGTTTCGCTACCCGACAGCTGGTTTTTCAGTGACATCAGTGCGCTTGGAAATTGATTGGAAGACTACATCAAAAAGTACTCAAAAGTTTTCCATTTGCAAAGTAGTGGCAGGTTTGTTTCTGGCATGCACCGCTTTGCACTCCAGGTGGGGGGGCTCACATGATCGAAAGCTCCTCCATATAAAAACACCTTTCACATAGAAACTCAACAAGGCATGGACCCACTTTCTTTCTTTTTTTTTTAAAGATTTTTCTGTGCAGGGATTTGTTGGTATGGAGGAGTGTTCCCTGACCTAAGCCCCACTTGCAAGTTGGTGTAATAAAACAAACTCAGAAACAAGTCTTTTGGGGAGCACTAGGGCTGCTTTTGCATAGGAATGGTCCCCTGTTGCTGTGCAGCCCCAAATTGGGACTGCGCTTGCACAGGCCACCAGCAGAGAACTCTTCTCTAGCTAAGAATTTTCCAGTACTGAGTACTGCACATGCCCTTTCCTTACATGTGCCTCACCCATATCTCAGAAGGACTGCACCACCCCATTCGCTTAGTTCTTTCTTCACCACCGTGTGAGAGGAATCTTCTCTACTCTCACTGTTAAAACTGTTTCTCCTCAAGATCATCTACTGTTTCTCCTCAAGATCATCTACTGGTATTCAGAAGAAATAATATTATTAGTTTAAAGTCACCACTGTTCCCCCTCAGGTTAATATCTCTGCCTAGCTGGTGTTTGATCATCCGAGATGGCATCTAAACCTTTGTTTAAGAAACGTAAGAAATGTAAATGTAAGAAATGTGGTCTTAAGATGACACGCAGTGATGAGCATGAGCTTTGTCTGTTTAGGGGAGAGCCACAGTGGGGCCCAGCAGGGTTTGCCAAAATTCACTGCTAAGGCAAAAGCCGAGGCTGCTCTGTGGGAGAAAGCGTGCTCGCGCCTCAACCCGTCACAGCCAAATGTTGGCCCTCCTTCAACCATCTCGGCACCGACCACAAGTACCTCTGCTATGCTGATCTCAAAACGACCGTCTGTCCAGTCGGTTCCAATGAACATTACTATGGCTCCACTGAAGAGACCTTTATTAGTGTCAGAAAGACCAGGGAGTGATGTGCAGATTTCTCCACCTCCTGTGGCATCTGTGCAAGGGTCTGAAACTGAACCAGTTGGTAAAAAGCAAAACAAATCTAAACATAGAGAGAGGTCTCCCTCCATTTCTAAGAGATACAGAGGGCAGGGAAAAACGGGAACCTACAGAGAGCCGGGGAAGGGAACCACGGAGGCTGCCTTTGGTTCCAAGAACCCCTTTGCCACATTTAACATTTAATGAGGAACTGGCATCTGATAGGGAGCACAGCCAATCAAGAGATCATTTGGAGCCTGTTCATACAATGGACTTTGGGGGCGCAGTTCATCAGGCTGGTTGAACTTCATAGCCCAGAGTAGTCCATGTCCTCCAGTCACCCAGAGCGCTGGAATCAGGAACCCCAATTCACAAATCATCAGTCCATTTCAGGGAGAGCAGTAGGTGAGCTCAGTTCCTTCTATCCATTCCAACCACCACTCAGAGAACAGGAGGGGATGTCAGTCATTTCTCATTGCAGCACTGAGACTGCTTCTGACCCCTCTCCTGAGGAGGCCGTCGGGGGATGCATCTCTGCTGGTGCCAGGTGATGATTTGGACTGCAAGAAGATCAAATCAGTCAGTCCTAAAAGAAATCAACCCTGACTGTTCCCTGGAAGGCCAGATAATGAAACTGAAGCTCAAATACTTTGGCCACCAAATGAGAAGGGAGCACTCCCCGGAGAAGACCCTGATGCTGGGAAAGACTGAAGGTCAAAGAAGACAGAGACGGCAAAGGATGAGATGGTTGGACAGTGTCATCGATGCAACAAACATGAAATTGAGCAAACTTCAGAGGATGGTGGAAAACAGGAGGCCTGGCATGATCTTGGCCATGGGGCCGCGAAGAGTCGGACTCAACTGTGCGACTGAACAACAACAAAGTGAACAAATGGTTCATGTGGCAAAAGCACTTGAAATGGACGTATCAACTTCTGATGTAAGACCTAAAGACAAAATCTTTAGCCATTTGCATTCTGACACGCCAACTTCTGTCGCTTTCCCTTTTTTGCAAGGTGTGGAGGACTTGACAGTTCCTACATGGAGGAACCCAGCCTCTGCTCAGGCCAACCCAAGGAAGACAGAGACACTGTACCGGGTTAAACCAGAGGTATCAGAACATTTGTTCACCCACCCCAGACCTTCGTCCATCATAACTGAGGGGATGCAGTTTCATCATAGGCCAGGTCATCATGTGTCACTGACTGATAAGGAAAGCTGTCCTCTAGATTACATAGGCAGAAAATGTTATCCTTCTGCTTCGCTTAATTTTCGTATAGCAGACCTAGAAACAATTATGGGTGGCTACCAATTGTATCTGTGGGAAAGCCTTTCCAAATACTTCGATCAACTGCCAGGGCAAGCTCAAAGTTTGGCAAAGCTTATCCAAGATGAGGCTATGAAGTTGTCAGAGCAGCAAATTAATGCAGGAAAGCATTTGGCTGAGAGAGATACCTGCATGTCTGCGCAGACACTCATTGCTCCGGAACACAGCATTTCGGGTTTAGACTAGATCAAGAGTGGAGGATCTCCCTTTTGAACGATCAACAGATAGGGGCTCTGGGGCAAGTGATGCTCTGTCATCTTGGTGCTTGGGGGGGGGGGTCAACAGTGGGAGGGCTTCTAATGTCCTGGCCCCACTGGTGGACCTCCTGATGGCACCTGGTATTTCTGGCCACTGTGTGACACAGAGTGTTGGACTGGATGGGCCTTTGGCCTGATCCAACATTGGCGTCTCTTATGTTCTTAACTCTGTTTGCTGAATCTACAGGTGAATTTCTATCAAATATTAAGAAGAGCGAGCAAACTGCTTGGTCCCTGAGTATGTATTCAGGGATGGCTAGTCAAGGCTACCGTTTTCAGCAGAGACAGCAGTCCATTCCAATGTATCCTTACAGGAATCAGCGTTAACCACATGACTTTCTATATCCTCCACGTCAGTTTCAATCCAGTGGTTTTGGGAGAAGGAAAGGCACCACTGGTGCACAACCACCCCAGCAGCAGAATCACCATGAAATGGGTGAACAGCAACAACCTAAATTGTGACTAGTTGATTCCCCTGAGGGAGGCACTACTACATATATTAATTGTTTAGCACAGTTTCCTCAAAGTTGGATTTCTATTTGTTCAGATTCTTTGGTTTTATCTCTTTTCACTCATGGTTATAGAGTTTTGGTCACGTCCCCAGTTTTGTTTAGGTTCTGCAGCTGTTGATAATACTGTCCCAGAACTCACAGCCCAGTTGAGAGACTTCCTTTCTAAAATAGCGGTTCAAAAGGTTCCAAATGGTTTGATTTCCATGGGTTTCTATTCTAGATTTTTTGCTGTTGATAAGAAAGATGGGAGCCGGCCCATCTTAGACCTCAGGTTATTAAATAATCTTTTGTCTATTGCCAAATTTAGGATGGTCTCCCTGTCATCAGTTCTTGAGCTTCTTTCATTGAATAGGTGGTTTGCAATCCTGGACTTGAAGGCTGCATATTTTCATATTTCTGTTTATGAGTCACATAGAAAATTCCTTCATTTTAGACATGGTGATGACATTTACCGATACTCATCTCTGCCTTTTGGTTTGGCAAGGGCCCCAAGGGTGTTTACAAAATGTATGGCCATAGTGGTTCCCTACTTACGAACCCGGGTTGTCCCATATTTCCGTAGTTAGATGATTGGCTTATAGTGGCTAATGCCAAAGACTCTCTACAGGTCAGGTTAGGATAATTACAGGTACGTGTAGAAGTCTGAGGTTACTGTTAAATATGGGAAAATCCAAGTTAGAACCATCTCAAACCGTCACTTTTATTGGTGCTTTCCTGGACTCTAAAGTCGGTAAAGCATTTTTGCCTACAGAGAGGACTAGAAGTATAAGGGCTTTGGTTTCGGCCTTCAGCTTTGGCCGGCTCGCAGGCCGGCTTATATTCCCTGAGAAACCGCCAACCAGAACACCTCCCCACTTCCCCATAGATTATTTACAGTGGCCGAGAGTCCCATTGGCTCTCGGCCAGGAACCTAGCCCCCTGATTGGAGTGGGCTAGGATCCGCATAGTCCATTGTCTCTTGGAGCGAAGCTCAACGTTTGTGTCTGGACTTGTCAGGACTGTTTGTCTCTGGACTTGTCAGGACTTGTCAGGACTGGATACATTACACTGCTGGCAACCTATTAAATCAGTCCAAAGATTACTAGGTCTAATGGCATCAACCACTGCAGTGGTTCCTTTTGCCAGGTTGCAGACAAGAGAACTATAGTTATGGTTCTTGAGGAAATACAATCCCAGCATCCAGGTCCCAAATTGCCGTCTTTCCATCCCTAGGGTAATCCTGCATTCTCTAGAGTGGTGGATGCAGGACAGTAACCTATTTGCTGGGGTGAAGTTTGGTTCCTGGGTGCCTGACATCACCATTACGACTGATGCATCCTTACTTGGCTGGGGAGCCCATTGTGGGGAGCACTGGCCTCAAGGTAAATGGTCAGTTACTGAAAAGAAACTTCATATTAATGTTCTCAAATTGAAAGCTGTTAGGTTAGCCCTAACGTGTTTCTCAG